GATTCTCTTGCCTCAGCCTCCTGAGTAGCTGGGACTATAGGCACCCACCACAATGCCTGGCTATTTTTTTGTTGCTATTTGGCTGGGGCGGCGTTTGAACCCATCAGCCTTGGTATATGAAATCAGCGCCCTACTCACTGAACCACAGGTGCTGCCTTATGCTGTTGGTCTTGAGAGAGGGCTGCGTAACCTGCTGGGACCTTTATTTTTTCTGTTTTTTTTTTTTTCTTTTTTTTTGAGCTTGTAAAACACTTGACATTTATTTTTGATTCTCATACCCATCCTGTGAGACAGCACTTCCTACTTTACAGATGTGAAAACCAAGATTCAGTCATTCTCAGTAACCTGCCCCAGGACAGGGAGCTGAGCTGCTGGGAATTACGGACACCGCCCTAAGTACCTGCTCACCAGCTACTTTCTGGGTCCCACTTGGTGCTAGACACTGAGCCAGGAGCCAGGGACTCAAGATAGCCCCTATCTGATGGAGCCCATGGTCTCATGAGAAACCCAGACATGGATCAGATAGCTGCGTATAAATGTGAAGAGTGAACCATGGGAGATTTATTGTGTTTTGGAAGGACAAAGAAAGGGAGTGTCCCCAATGATGAGGTCAGAGGAAGCTTCTTGGATGAGGTACTTCAAGTAGTGAACTTTTAAAGTCCAGGGAAGGGAAAGGCAAGAGTCTCTCAGGCCTATTGGGAACAAGTGGTAGAAAGACTCAACGGCTGGGGGAATTGACAGAGCTGGTGTGGCTGCATCTTGGAGTGAGGGATCCCAGAACAGACAGTGGGGCTTCAGCTGGGGCAGTAGGGAAAAGAGCTATGGACAGAATCAAGCAAGCTGTGTAGGTAAAATGACAGGGTGTAGAGTTACATGGAATGTGGGGGAGGAGAGGAGTGGAGGAGAGGGACATCCATGTTGGCACTGAGGCCTGAGGCCTCACTTTGCAAAGGCCTTAGGGGCTTAACCTGGTAGCACATCCCCATAGAACCCCTAATACTTGGGTGCTGTGGCATAGATGGATAAACTGAGGCTTAGCAGGGTCAAGACACTTACTCAGAGTCTGGGTACAGTGGCTCATGTCTGTAATCCTAGCTCTCTGGGAGGCTGAGGTGGGTGGATTGCCTGAGCTCAGGAGTTGGAGACCAGCCTGAGCAAGTGCAAGACCCCTGTCTCTAAAAATAGCCAGGCGTTGTGGTGGGTGCCTGTAGTCCCAGCTACTTGGGAGACTGAGACGAGAATTGCTTAAGCCCAAGAGTTTGAGGTTGCTATGAGCCATGATGCTATGGCACTCTACTGAGGGCAACAGAGTAAGACTCTGTCTCAAAAAAAAAAAGATGCTTACTCATGTGGGCTAGTGGGAGGCTGGGCTTGACCAGTCCCTGAGAGTGTCTTCACCTTCTGCTTGCCCACTCACATCCTCTCCTGCAGAGCAGTGGGATTGTATTAGCATTTCAAGGGTTTTGTTTTCCATTTGGCTTCCTTGAAGGCATCGAATATGAGACAGAGATTCCTTGAAGGAATAGTATACGAGACAGAATAATATATAATACAGATTAAATGCTGTATTTGAGTGCTCTGCTATGCTTCTGCTCAGCATTATAGGAGAGGTGAAGGAATCACTTGGTGCTTATGGCGAGCCACATCTGTTTCTACCTGCTGCTCACCTTTGCCTCTGGTTGGATCTTCTACTGTCCTTTGATTGTGCTGTTTTCCTGGGAGGTCTTTATTGGGCTCTCCACAGCTCTTCTGAGCAATGGCCACCCTGGCCCAGCCCTTTGAGGCCTGTGCTGAGCCTCAGTTGGACCTGATTGCCTGTCTCAGGCTTCACTTATGAGCCCTGTGCCTCCTAGATAGCTCCTAACTGATATCCTTCCTCCAGTGCACAGTGCAGCAGTAAATGCCCTCTCCTTCCACCCATCGGGAAACTACCTGATCACAGCCTCCAGTGACTCAACCCTGAAGATCCTGGACCTGATGGAGGGCCGGCTGCTCTATACACTCCACGGGCATCAGGTGAGAGGCCTGGAGCTGAGTGGTATTGAATGGGGTAGAGGTGCTACCTCAAGGCCCATGCAGGACTGGGTTCACCTGAGATGTCCTTCCCTTGTCATCCACTGTGGTTTCCTTGTGGCCTAGGCAGTGGAGTAAGATGCAGAAACAGCCTTGCTCGGCTCGGCACCTGTGGCTCAAGCGGCTAAGGCGCCAGCCACATACACCTAAGGTGGCGGGTTCGAATCCCCAGCCCGGGCCCTCCAAACAACAATGATGGCTGCAACCAAAAAATGGCCAGGTGTTGTGGCGGGTGCCTGTAGTCCCAGCTACTTGGGAGGCTGAGGCAGGAGACTCACTTGAGCCTAGGAGTTGGAGGTTGCTGTGAGCTGTGATGCCACAGCACTCTACCCAGGGTGACAGCTTGAGGCTCTGTCTCAAAAAAAAAAAAAAGAAACAGCCTTGCTACCCACGTGACCTGCTAGGAGATGAATGAAGGCCTTTCCTTGTGAGGCTCACTGGGCCTGGGACTGGTATAGCTGAGAAGGGATTAGGATAGTTGTTATGGGGGTGGAGTTTAATTTTTTAATTTCCCTTTTTTTTTTTTTTTTTTTTGCAGTTTTTGGCTGGGGCCAGGTTTGAACCTGCCACCTCCAGTATATGGGGCCGGCACCCTACTCCTTTGAGCAACGGGGGTGGAGTTTAAATTGTGTTGGTGGCCACACGTAGGCATGGTGGGAAAGCTTTCTTCCAGGACCTAAATGGAATCTGTACCATAATGGCCTCAGGCATCCCTTGGTCCAGAGTTTGAGTAAAGTCTTAGAACCCATGCTCTGAATTGACATTAGGGTCTCTTGGAGGTCCTGGGCTGGCAGCCATCGATGCTTCTAGAGATGGAAATAACCACAGGTTTCCAGTACGGGCTAGTCAAGAAGAGGGAAATATGTACATTTGTTTTAGAATTCCTGGCATTGAATCAAGGGAACAGAGGCCTTCTCTCTGCGTAGGCCTTAAAGCATCTGATGCCTTGGTCTTTCTGGCTTGGCACTAGCTAGTGGTGGGCCCCTGTGGGCCAGTTGTGGGGCTGTCTGCAATTCCCCAGCAACTCAACCTGGGTTTGGACCTTCCACTCATACTCTCATTAGGAAGTTATGGCTGAGCTGTCTCCTGCTGAGCAGAGCAGTTGTCAGAACATCACAGTGTCTCCTGTTAGAGCATTGTCACCATGACCAATTGGAATGGGGGCATGGAGTCCAGAGATTTTAAGTTGCTCTCTTACTCTGCCTCCCAGTCTGAGGCAGGCATGATGGAGAGTGGGAATGGGCCTTTGAGGACTCAGGGAGGTCCTGGGAGTGCTCATGGCCAGCAGCCAGGTATAGGGTTGCATTTTTTTTCCTTATTTTTTGGGATTCATTGAGGGTACAAAGAATTAGGTTACACTGATTGCATTTGTTATGTAAGGTCCCTCTTATAATTGTGTCCTGTCGCCGAGAGGTATGCTACATACAGTCTCACTCTGTCACCCTGGGTAGAGTGCTCTGGCATCATAGCTTACAGCAACCTCAAACTCTTGGGCTCAAGCAATTCTCTTGCTTCAACTTCCAAGTAGCTGGGACTACAGGGGCCTACCGCAAAGCCTGGCTAGTTTTTCTATTTTTAGTAGAGATGGGGTCTCACTCTTCCTCAGGCTGGTCTCGAACTCCTGAGCTTATATGATCCTCCTCTTAGGCCTCCAAAGTGCTAGGATTCCAGGCATGAGCTACCACACCTGGATTTTTTTTTTTTTTTTCTTTATTGAGACAAAGCCTCAAGCTCTTGCCCTGGGTAGAGTGCCATGGCATCATAGCTCACAGCAACCTCTAACTCGTGGACTCAAGCGATTCTCCCACCTCTGCCTCCCATGTAGCTGGGACTACAGGTGCTTGCCATAATGCCCGGCTATTTTTTGTTGCAGTTTGGCCAGGGCTGGGTTCGAACCTGCCACCCTTGGTATATGGGGCCGGTACTCTACTCTGAGCCACAGGTGCCGCCCACAATTTTTTTTTTTTTTTGAGACAGGGGCTCACTCTGTTGCCCAGGCTAGAGGGCAGTGGCGCAATCATGGCTGACTGCACTCTTGAACTCTTGGGCTCAAGTGATCCTCCTGCCTTAACCTCCCAAGTAACTAGGACTACAGGCATGTGCCACCATGCCCAGCTAATTTTTTTTATTTATATAAAGGTGGGTTCTTGTTATGTTGCCCAGGCTGGTCTTGAACTCTTAGGCTCAAGCAATCCTCCTGCCTTGGCCTCCGAAGGTGCTGGATGACAGGCATGAGCCACTCTATCTGGCCTCTGCCCAGGGCTTTCTGAGCTTTTGTTTCGCATCTCTAAACATCTGAATTAGGACAGATGGGGGCTGTTTGGCCATGGCTGGGCTGTGTCTTCTGCTTTCTTGGGGCCTGGAGGCTGTTTGCTGCCCTAGACTTGTGATGACCCCATGTCTTCCCTGTTGGACACATGTCTGTTGTGTAAGACCAGCAGACCTATTCTCCCTGGTTGGGTACATCCAGGTGTGATGTGCAGCCAAGCTGGACTAGGGTCACTGCTAGCCCTGAAATAAGCCTATTAGGGAGCCACCTTTAATTGCCCTTGAGCAAGTCAGTTATTCAGATTTATGTGTGTAATCAGTTGTGGATCTTTTTTTTTTTTTTTTGAGACAGTTTATGTCACCCTCAGTAGAGTGCTGTGGTGTCAAAGCTCACAGCAACCTCAAACTCTTGGGCTTAGGCGAGTCCCTTGCCTCAGCCTCCCAAATAGCTGGCGCTACAGGTGTCCGCCACAATGCCCAGCTATTTTTTTGTTGCAGTTGTCATTGTTGTTTAGTTAGCCCAGGGCCGGGCTCTAACCAGCCAGCCTCAGTGCATGTGGCTGGCGCTGTAACCACTGTGCTATGGACACCAAGCTGACCAGTTGTGGATCTTACAACCAGGAAGGTATTTGAAAATCACATGATTTCAAATCATGTAATCTGTGATCTGCTTCCCC